GGCCACACCGCCGCCGCCACGCCGCACGCACACTCGCATAGCAGCAGACATAGTACTACTAAAAAGTACTGAAATAAACATTCTTTTGTAATGTCGCGTATCATTTCATGCTGTCCTTTTATTCTTGAATATATCACGTATTTACTCTTAATAATATTATAAATACGAAAGTTTAGAGGGATGGATGGATGTTTGTTAGAGCTTGTAGCCTAAACTGCTGAACGGATCTGAAATGTGGCATAGATGTCTACATCTATGCCACATTTCCTCTAGGAACAACACATAGGCTATCACTTTTTTTATTCCACGCGGACGGAGTAGCAGGCAAAAACTAATCATTAATAAATCTCACGGGACCAAAATATTAATTTGTTCGTTTAAAACGATGGTCAGATCAAAAGTTAAAATTCAAGCGAGATTGTACCAATAAACAAAACCAACATAATTTTATTTTTTTAATGTTAATATGCCTAATAATAAGAAAAAATAGACAAACACTTACAATAGTCAGCAGTATATATCCCGGCATATATGTGGCCCAAATGCCGAATGTAGCAATAAAGCATATAGTTAGTCCACTAGCTAGTAATGCCAGTGCGACGTAGTAAAACGGCGGCTCGGGCAATCCATCTTCAGGCATCGTCAGGAGACTTGATAATAAAATCCTTTGGGAGTCGCTTAAAAGCAGGAACCCACATACCACTTTCGTGAAACCACATATCTTCAAATAAATAAAAAAACATTTTTTAAATACACTACACCTTTTTTCAATAAAATCTAATTATATTTATTTTTTGCCTTATAGGCGCAATATTTATCGGGCGTAAACTATATCCTTTCCTAAACAGAAATTTTAAGGATTATAATATTTTAAACGGATATCTTACAAGAAATAAAGTGTTGAAACACCCGAAAAGCACTTTAGCACTCGCGATCTTTCTGATCTTCATTTGACTTATTTTAGTTACAAATTATTTTGCAATCAAAATTTTGTTTATATAAAAATGCAGTGTATAAACGAAATACAAGCCAACGTAGTAGTGAGTCCGCGTGGTATGTGCGATGAATAGTTTTGTCGGTTTTAGGGAGATACGCGCCGCTGAGCAGCTGGGGTGACTAATAATTAAGGTTTGTTTGAAATTAATGCTCGAGTTATTTTCATTTCCACATATGTTAAGCATGTCCGTTGTTTAAAGGTAGAATGATAAGTAAAATATAAGAGGGGGTAGTTTTAAAAAAATATATTTTTCAATAAATTTTTAAAAATCAATATCCTTTTTCTTAAATCCTCCGCAGCCAACTGCTTTGGGCACTGCTGTGATGTCATCTTGTTCTCTTTCACTGGATTCTTGAAGCTCTAGAATATTACAAAGATAACCTTTAGTCTCAATATAACAAAAATATCACAGCTAAGTAAATAACACTAAGATATTTTGGAATATGACTTACCTGGTGGCAAATGTAACTTTTCTATAACAAATTTCTTCCTGCGCAGTTTAAATGCTAGATCCAGACTAGGTGGTACATAAGGCACGAGGGAGTAAATAGCTGACAGCTTGGTGACATGGAACAAACCATGGTAGTCACTGTAAACAGGGTTTGTTTCACGACTGGAGCCTGCAAATGACTCTATCCTGACTGCATTGTCTATGGAATATAGAAGTCTGGGCATTAAATGCTCATCCTGAAAAAATACAAAAACACCATTTAGTAAATGCTGAAAATAAAAAAACTAAAACATTTTGAAAAAAAAAAAGAGATCTTACATCAAATAAATGTGATGGTATAGTAATAAACGCAACTGCTAAAGTATCTCTTAAAATTACTCTAAGAGTATATAAAAATTTAATCAAATCCTGTCCATAATCACTGTTTGCAGTTTCCTCGTCACAATCTGCAGCCAACCAGATCGGAGAGCCAAGTGACTGTATACTTATACGTAAAATATTTTTACTCTTACTACTTGTTTGAAACTCTTCTTTTGATACAAGTTCTTTGATTTCCGTTAACAGTTTAAAAAACATATAATTCTTGAAGCCTGGAGAGAAAATGTTCAATCAGCAATTTATAGACAAATCAAGAATAGTCACATGATATAGTTTATTATGAAGACTACCTCAATTGCATAGCCATGCGAGCCAATAATCTATATGGGTCTGCCCTAGAGGGCATTAGCCGGCCAACTATGGCTTCAAAGACTTACGGACTCTTCGACTTTGCGGCACATTTTTCACACTCATAAATATATATCAAGTATGACTTTTATTTTTCCTCAGTGTAATAAAAGTTTATGAAAAAAGCATATGTGGGTACCATTTTTTTAATACTTGTAATGTTTATATATGACTTGGTTCATCATCACCAGCTAACTATACATCCTCACTGAGGGGCTTAGAGCATACCCTAATAAGGGATGGTATTTAGCTTGGTTGATGTCTTAATTTAGTGCTTGACTAGTCATAGTCAGATGTGACTCATCCTAGTCAATATAGATATAGTCAATTGACTAATCAAGTTGGTCATCATCATCATTAACTTGCTCTTGTCCCCATGATGGGTCAGCACAGTATAAACAAAAACATAATTACCTTTTACTTTATCTTTGTGTCCATATTCATCTTCATTTAAAAAACAATAAGTGATACTACTTTTTTGTACAGTTTCTTTATCCATATGTTTGCTTAAATCAAAATGATGTCCAAATGAGGTATTACTGCCAAACGAAGATTCAACTTGACCCAAACCCTCATATCTCCAAGCTATTTTCATTTCAACATTGCCATCTTTTGGTGTTACTTCTTTTGGTAAATCTGTGCAAGGCTGTGGCAATTCATTCACCTGTAATAAAAACACATATTTATCTATTAAAGTTCAACTTAGTCTCATTTTTGGTTTATAAAGGTGGAATATAAATAAAGAAATAAACTCTTTTGAGTTAAAAATTAAGATCAACATTAAAACTTACGATAATACTAGGATCTTCATCAGCTGAAGCTATAAACAGTGCATGTTCCGAGGTGACACCTTCAGCTAGGAAGTACTTTGTTAGAACTCTACTGTAACTGCCTAAAATGTCTTCCTCTGAAAATAAGACAGACAAATAATATCTATGTGCTCTGCATACAATTTAATTATGAAACAAAGGTAATATAAATAAAAACTTACCAACAGCAAAAATAGCTCCTGAAGGTAGACCACCACCTAAAAAAGAAACAAAAATTAATCAAAAGCTTTCACTTTTTAAAGCTTATAAATATCATACAATCCACTATTGAGCATAGTTTAGGTCCAATTATACACTTACCAATTATGTGATCCAGCGATGGAATACCAGATGATACAAAAGGCAAGTTATTTTTTAGTTTGGTTCCTTTGATACTGTATTGTGAATCTGATTTCTTATGAAAACTTGACATTTTTATATCTTAGAAGTAATGTGTATGAAAATTAAGCAATAAAAGAGTCAGTCGAGTTCAAACTTTGTTAGGTTATAAAAATATACTAAATTGGACTAAACTGTAACAATATTTTGTTTTTTAACTGTCAAACAGAAGATGCTGTAATTGATTATGTAAATATAAGTGTTCTGCTTATGGCTTATGTGATTAATTATTAACTATTCACACAAAATAAAATAACATACTTTAAAATAAATTTTTCATGTTTTCCATTTTTTTGGCAAACATCAATTTAATGTCAATGTCAGTATTAAATAGTTGCCATTGTTATTTGCATCAACAACAGATTAGGTAAAATAAATGTTTATCCGAACCGAAGAGAAAGCTTTTTACTCTGCGTCTTATGTACGTAACTATATGTCAATGTCATTATGTTTGCCTTTTTGACTCGCTTGCTTAGCTGGCTCACGTTTTAATTTATTTTATTTAGCTGCAAAACATCACTTCACTTGTAATTTAAGTCAAATTCTAAATACCTTTATATCGTTTCAAAATGCAGGGTCCTGCCATTTTTATGGATATATCGCTCGAAGATCAAGTAAGTCATGTTAATATAACCTCAAAATCATTTACTTTCTACTAGGGTAAAATTACAACAGTTTCAACATGTTTACAGGCACAAGAACTCAGAAAGTATTTTAAAAGTCTTGGCGCAGAAATATCCGAGGAAAAGTCACCAAAGGGAATCGAAGATGATTTACATAAAATAGTTGGCGTGTGCGATGTTTGCTTGAAAGAAACTAATGAATCTGACATCGAAGCCATCCTCAACAGTATTGTTTCTATAATGGTTTCCGTAAGTATACTAAATGTGTCTTTTTGAACGAATAGCCCTTTGCTGTTGAAATTTAAAAATATTTTTTTTATAATTTCAGTTGCACATAAATAAATATAGGTAGCACATAAGTAAATAAAATTATCTGATGTCGAGTGAAAACTTGAGAAAACACAATAACATTTACATTATGTAATTTTTCATTCTTTACATTTCAGATACCATTGGAAAGAGGTGAGAACCTAATAGTGGCATTCAGTCAAAGGCTTGGCAAATCACCGGGACCCAAAGTTGGATTGATAGCTCTACAGTCGTAAGTGTTTTAAAACATTTTAAATAAATAATAATCAAATGTTAAAAGACAATGTAAAAACATGAAAAATCACTTGATTTAACATGAAGAATTTAAGTACCATCTACTAAAAAAGGTATTATTTTAAAAAAAACTACCTTCATTTTCCAGTCTATGGAGGTTATATAACAACTTGGAGGCCAATTCACCTTTGAGATACCATGTATACTACCATGTGATAGAGCTTGCTGCGCGTGTTGGTGCTGTCAAGGATGTGTTCTCCGGTGTAGAGCAGCTGAAGAAGGAGTTCTCAAGCTGTCCTCCCTCTAATGAACAGATGCAAAAGTTGTACAGATTGCTGCATCAAGTTTTAAAAGATCAAAACAGGTAGAGTTTTCAAAGAATGTACTCTTTTACAGAAATTCATTATATGCAATTTCTTACTTTATCTGGTTATCTTTAGTCAAGAATATAAATGCCCATCATTGAAATTTAGCAAAGATATAGTCTGGAAGAACACGAACTACTGAATCTTATTTGAATGTTTTTCAATTAATACAAGTAGAGAAGGTAATTTTTAAAAAAATATCTCATTTGATTTGCTATGTTTAAGTAAATATTAAAATAAATGGCACCATGATATCTTTGGTTGGCAGTCTGCTCAATGATTAGTTATTTATCACTTCATTCCAGTGAATTAGCTTCAAAAGTGATGATAGAGTTACTTGGCACATATACAGATGAGAATGCATCCTACGCCAGAGAAGATGCTATCAAGTGCATAGTCACCGCACTAGCTGATCCCAACACATTCCTGCTGGACCCATTGCTGTCGTTGAAACCTGTTCGGTTCTTAGAAGGGGAACTCATATATGATTTACTCACCATCTTTGTGTCAGAGAAACTCTCGAGTTATCTTAAGTTTTATGAGAATCATAAGGAATTTGTGCAGTCACAAGGTATGTTACATTAAAATTATTTACATTTAGTATTCTAAATATTAAATATGTACCTTTATGGCTCCATGTCTATCTTGTATACTAATAGCACTAGAAATTAAGAAAGGCATTTTTAAAATTCCACAAAATATACATCCAATGCTGGAAAAGTTAGTTTCCTACATAATGTAAGCATTTAAAACATGTAACAGTAATATAATTTTAAATTTTTTATTTATCCTAAGGGCTTAACCATGAGCAGAATGTGAAGAAGATGAGAATATTATCATTCATGCAGATGGCGGAGACCAATCCAGAAATAGCCTTTGACGATATGATCTCTGAGCTGCAAATTGAAGAACAGAATGTCGAAGCTTTTGTTATTGAAGGTAATGTTTCAATACTTTTTACTGTTCTTAGTGAATTTTTAACTGTGATCAATTTTTTTGAAGGATGATAGAAAGCAATTTAAATGATGTTACCATTACCACCAAGAAATGATTTGCTGATAGCATGAAATCAAATTTAATATATCTGAGGAAGGATACATATTTGTTGTATTTAGATGTTATTGTGCCATGTTCTGTAGTATTGTATGTTGTTAGTGTTGAAGACGAAACTGGTGCGCGCGCGCATGGACCAGGCGGGGCGCTCGGTGCGCGTGACGAGCACGATGCACCGCACGTTCGGGCCGGCGCAGTGGCAGCAGCTGCGCAGCGTGCTGCTGGCGTGGCGCGCCAATGTGCACCAGGCACACGAGTCTATGAAGTCAGTCGCTGCCGCACAGCTCGAGTACACCGCGCAGCAACAGAAACCATAAATCAGTTTAATAAAATTTTTACACTATTAGTTGTTTTATTTCATCGCGTTAGATCTGAACGTAATAAAAGCTGTTGTTTTCATAAGTTCGCTAATCTAAATATATTTTTAGGGTACTTATTTACGTATTAACTTACATCTATATACTAATCACAGAGTACTTTGTAACATACTGAAACTAATATTATAGAGAGGAATAACTCAAAAACTACTGGGCCAATTTTAAAAATTCTTTCACTGTTTGAAAGGTAATTTATCTGAGTAACAGGCTATATTTTTTTAACGTCACGCGGTTGAAATCACGAGCAACAGCTAGTATATAATATAATGATAAATAAAATTCATAACAAATCTAATGGGATAAAGGTTTTAGCACTACTAGCGGCCCGGCTGAGATTTCTTCCCTTTTTTAACACATTAAATGGTCACGTGAGACTGTAATTTACAAACCTGTGGCATCAATTTCTTTCTAGCGCCTTGGGCGGTCGCGGACAAACAAATTTTACTGATTTTTTTGAGTTGTTAGGATTAAGGTCGGTGATGAAACCTCTGTAAGATAAAGAAGTTTCAAAGTTTGACATTTAAGAATTAAAAATGATAATGACAGTTGTTTGTTTGTAAACTTGGCAATACGCTAACAAGAATTTTAATATTTATAAGAGGTTTATTGTGTAAAACGCTTTAAGTTTGTATATAACGTTGTAATGGATTACGATGATGACGAGGGATGCGGCATCCGCAACGTCTTTCGATCGTTTGTGTGCGTGGCGCTGACACTGCTACTGGGGCTGCACGTGTACTCCTACCTGTGGGGCTCGCAGGACACAATCGAGGGGGACTTCGGGGATATCAAATACATGGTTATGCAACTAACACAGGGTCTATCTGAGGTGGTTTGCTATTCTTATTTTGTAAACAAATCTTTTTATAATAAAAATCAAAACAATGATTTAGTTATGTAGCTTTGTTTGTGTTAATTTATTGCGACAACTGCAAAAGGTATTTTCTGCATTCTTTAGACCAAAGACTAATCTAAACCAGTTTCTACAAGCTATCAATCGTTGTAATTAATTGTTATTTGAAGATGAACCGTGAACATGAACGTATCCGCAATGAATTGGAGAGGATGTCTTCCGCGCTGCCCGCGATGACTGCGGCGTCGGGCCGCGTAAAGGACGCGTTGGAGCCCACACGCCGACACACCCGCCAGCTGATGGATATGGGCGACTACGATCGACAGGTGTAAAAAAATTATATAAATCTATTAGTTTGCCATTTTTATTGCTAAAGCCTAAGGAAATTTCTCTTTCTTTATTGACTCTTTTCAGTGTTTGCATCATATCGGACAAGAATAAATTGGCATCTATGACTGTGAGGGTTATATGGTCAACATTTTCTTGATTTAAGATATTTTATTAGATAGCAGATTACGCTCTGGAGTCCGCCGGAGCTCGTATAATCGACACTGGAGAGACGCAAGAGTACGCGATCTACGAATCATCAGTGGGTTGGGCGCTGCACGCGGTTAGTTCGTTGCTCTGCCGCGAGTGCCCCGGCGCCTCTGCCATCCTGCGTCCCGGCACACTACCCGGTGAGTGCTGGGCTTTCCGCGGCTCTCGGGGCGAAGCCACTATACGTCTCGTGGGTTCCGTCCACGTCACCGGCATCAGCGTTGAACATATACCAGCGCATATCTCGCCAACAAAGTAAGTTCCACATTTTACTTTTATGGATCTGGTTTATACCAATTCCGATACTCGACTTCATACAATTTTCGTTACAGAGAAATATCATCAGCGCCGCGTCTATTCCAGCTAGAAGGATTGTCGCACCGTGGGGACTTACATCCACACGACTTTGGCAGTTTCGAGTACGATAAAGACGGTAAGCCTATCCAGTACTTCGAAGTGCAGCAGCCGGCGGCAGTAGGTTACCACGTCGTAAGATTCAAAGTGTTCTCCAACTGGGGCCATTCGATGTACACTTGTGTGTACCGAGTCAGGATACACGGGGAATTGGCGCCGGGACAGGCGCCGCAAAAGACCATTACTGATGAAGAAACGATACCGTTACATTAAGAAATGTTAAGATATTTGTTATAAGTTGTTTTAAGCTTCTTGTAGTCAATTTTGTCAGCATAATAGCTATGAGACTATTAATTTAATCTTAGTTTTCATTTTTTAAATTTCAATATCAGTCTGTAACAAATTTAAATATCTGTATTTAGATTTGTTTATTCATTTTTATTTGTTTTACACATTTATGAAACTTGTACCGGTGTTTTTTAAACTTGTGATTATGAATGATAATTTGTATTATGCCAATTTAGAAACACTTTTAATTTATACGTATTACATTTTATGCAACGGAATCTAAAGTAATCATATTTTAAATTATTGAAAAACTTTATCAGATATTTTAATTCGTGATCAAATTGTTGTATATTAATCATTGTCCACCATTTATATCATAAGGTGCAATATATTTAATAATATAAGTAATTTGTTAAAAGTAATTCATTTGTAATTTGGAATAAAGTATGATTATGGTTATTTAAATTATTATCTTATTATTATTCATCAATCCGCCAGCCACTTCTAGTAATTTCTTAAGATATGTACAATCATAGGATCATATTGGTGCTTTTATAATATAATTAATAGTTTTGTTTAATTGCTTCAATGCAGGTGCAAGCGTAGAATCCTTTGCACAAAACGATATGGACGGTAGCTACCTAGATTTTTTCGAAACCATTATAGCCAGGTGGCCGGTTACACTGGCCATTGTGTTTTGCACAAAACTAGAGAAAGCTAAAATCATACGTCGATGTTAATCTGGGTGTCCGGCAGTAGGCCATAAAATGCGTCCATTGTGAGTGGACAATACGACAAAGCACATAAATTACCATGAACCGAGTGATCATGAGCCCCCGCCGCGCGCGCACTAATGGGTTGGCGCGTCCGAAACCAGCTTTGTATCGGAGACTTCACGGACATGTGAAAGGGTAATAAATCGCAATATAAATAATACCCAAAAGGGTCAACAATGACTTTTGTAATCTATTGTTGGTTTATATTTTTTCAATCGCAGAAGATAGCGCAAAACTTTTAATCCTAGCAGCGCTTTCCAAAGCTAAGTTAATGCACCTTTTTATACTTATTTAAAGTTAAAATCTTTAAAATAATTAATACTTAAAACCCGATAAATAGAAGAAGTTATAATTTTCTTATACTTTCTGTGATGTAAAACAGATTTGAAAAAATGCGTTCACTAGCTCCCCTACGTTTATAAAGTTTATCGTTAACTAACTAAACGTTACCATTTTCATTTCAAGCAAAGAAAAATAAATAGTCGTTACATATTGGAATTCCAAGTCTACGCCGCAAATAATTGTGTCACCAATATATGTTTGTATTGTTTGTAATTGCATTCCTATCCGCAAGTCTGTAATAAATAATAATAGAGAAAACTGCGACATACGAATCTCATAGTTCAACTAAATATTAATAACAATAAATAATAATAATAACTACCGTGCTTTATTCTTAGTATACTTTTGATTATAACATAAAAATAGTCATTAGTCACCGATTATCACTTAAATAATATGTCTTATTTAATTTAATATAACTATATTACATTGTATGAGACAAGCGCGAAATTTACTTCATTTACCCACACGATATGATATACGTACGTCTCTGGACAATACTAATGGACTTTGGCTACGTCATGGAGAGATATCGAGGACCCTTTCTTCGGTGATTTCTATACCCAATGACAAATAGGTAGGAGTTAAAAAGGGTGAAAGCATCTCTCCATGAAATTTATCCTTTTCGTAGCACCGCCTACGTGTACTACTTAATATTAATGATGTGATCTTAGTTGGGATGTCTCTCGCAGCTTCCAACTGACGTGTATTAATGAGCGGCAATGTGGCCATAGCCCTCCACGGTCACCTTTATACTTACGCTAATCAAAACTTGCTGGTCAATGGAAAGAATACGGAAAGAATAGTAGTAAAGTAGGCAAAGTGTTGAAACAGTGTTATATATTTTTTATTAAATGTAAATAATATTTCTATCGTATAAAAAGTCACCTCCGTAAAGAAGTAACCTCCGAAAACATCTCCTACCTAACGAGCATTTTGTGATTTAATTATTCTATGTTGATAACAATCGAGCGAAAACTTGACCACGGACAAAATATTTTAAGTTACTATTTATTTGAAAAAGCTCATAGACTAGGAACCACAGCACGGGTTGCAGTATTGTGAAGCCACGCGTATCACCAATAACGGCTAGGTGAGATAACACAAAGGTTTAGCCGCCAAAATATTTAACATTGTTATAAAATGTTTCTACCTTATCGCTCGTCAAAGGCTTGAACTAGAAAGGATTACGGATAGCTTTACGCTCCGATGTGCCGCTATGCCTTACATTATTTAAACTTCCGTAAGTAAAGGCGCAAGTTACAAGCGAAGAGCACGTTGATTGCGAAATTAAAACTTCATTTTTTAGATGTATCAACTACGCGATATTTATTTGTTTTAAATAAGAGTATTCTAAATATAATAATGTCACAATCACCACACAATAGATATCTAAAAAATACCGTAAATAAGGCTATGAGCGTCATTGTTGCGACATTTCTAGTCGCATGATATAAAGACAGGGTTCAATATTTCGATTTAGTTACTTTATGTATATAAAAGCTATTATTTAAAGTTTGTATTTTATTTATAGTAAAAAGTAAACAAAAATTCTTCGCTTGGACCATACTAAAATTCTGTTATTTGCGTTGATGTCGTGTAAGGATTGATTTTAAATAGTCGCAAGAACGTATTGTATAGAAACATTCTTTGTCCTTTACATCAGACGACGCTCTCGTGTCCGCATCGATGACTTTGCTAAATATCGTTCAGGAAATGCGATTTTAACAGCGAAAACATCGGAATTACAAATCATTATGATCCACTTCATTGCCTCCGGGCAAAGCGTGATTGTCATCTTACCCTTTCATTTTATACTGTTTAATCTAAACAGTCGACTAACAATAAGCTATAATACCATTCTTTACAGTATCATTTGTTATATCGCCATGTCTTTGTCAATCCTTCACGTTAGTGCCGGAAGGAGTTTAAGGTAACAAACGAATTGTTAACTGTCTGACACTTAGTAAAGGCAAATATACTAGTTCGTCTTGTAAGTTTAGTTTTCTAAGGTTTTCATAACTAAAATCAGAGAGTGATATTTGTTTCTAACGTTCATGAGCCTAGTAACTCTTACTAGATCTGTTAATAATCATCTTTTTTTTACAATACATTATCTTTATCCTAAGAGTGATTTAATTAATTTAATTGTATAGATGTTATAGTTAGTTCTCATACGTAGTTTTAATAATAACTAAAAAAAAAACATTTTACATGTGACCGAAAATATTTATTCTTGTGGTTACAAAATTTTACCAACTTCTTCTTTGCGTTAACCCACTTATTGTAAAAAAAAATTGGCAATCAAGAAGTGGACTTAACTCATTATGAGAAGGGTTCACGGCAGGTAGGTCCGTATGTTGCGATCGCCCTTTGAAATATAGAAAAACGGCCATTTATTAAAGTAGAGGCCTCAGTAATTATTGGAACCATTCCAACATATTCGCTACCTGCCGACAATTTGCCATTCGCCCCTTTGTCTGTCGGCGTGGCGCCCTAAAGGGTTTCTAATTTTCAATACGGCGTGTAACTATCCCGCCTTTTATTCGTAATTTTCTCTTTCGCGGTGGTTACGCTGGACGCAATATGGCGCGGTATTTTTTTTGACATAGGCAAGGGTAAGCAATTAAGTGGTACAACATTGGCTTTGTTCACTTTTTGCGGTCGCCACGATTGTAATGGTCGATAATTCCACATACATCTCAAAACATAATTTCGTAACAATGATAAGTACCTGGATACTGTAATTATAATGTACACAATGCGAAATTGGATTAAATTTTATATCGGATGTGGAGAAATTACTTCCTACCGATATTCTCTGATAACTACGACTAGTTAAATATGAGATTGCAAATAATACTTTTGTTCTTTTGTAGTGTGTTCGAAGCGGTGGACTGATAGGCGTGGACATAAATGACAACTTGATTTTATTTACGAAATATAAAATGGTATATATATGGAACATGGTAAATATTCGTCTTCCGCGAGATTCTTTTTTTGGATCGGATTACTTTCCTGTGTTTGGGGATAAAGCTTATCTGTTGTTATATCCGGGTTTTATTCTGACTCAAACAAGATTTGACCAAACAGTTTGTCAGAGTGTCGGTTGAATGGTAACAAATTTTGTTCATACATATGTTTCTCCATATCAGTTTCGCAACAGAAATTATAATGTAATACTGTTATTGTATACAATTACACGGTCCAGTCAATCGCGTATGTAAACAGAGCTGCGGAGTCCATCGCGACAGTTTGTCCGCAAACAAGGATCGAATGAATATAGACAAGCGTGTGTTCTTACGGATCGCGTTACAACAACAAATATTCCTTGTTTATTTATATCGGAGTGGAGTGGCGACTCGCCCCCGCTGCCGAATAATGCGATGCAGTCGCCATGGCAACGCTGCAGCCCCACGCGCATGAGAGCCCATAAAAAACAAAAACAGAACGCAGCAACCTCGCTTCGAATCACCCCGGTTCCTGTCGCCGCGAGTCCGAGACTTCAGTCCCTCCTTTCAAACATAATTTATGATCTCGGGGAAATAAACATAAAAAATAGAAAAAGGAAAAGACGGCACGCACGATAAAAAAGCTCGCAGTAAAAGCTCGGGGTGAGGCCCCGCCGCCGGGCGGCAACCCTTCCGCCGCCGCCCCTCGGCGCGCCCTCGCCCGCCGAGGTAAAGGGTTAGGGCGACTAACCCTCTACATATCACTATGTAAGCATTATACTCTAATGTAAATCGCAATTGCTTTCGTTGGAACGTAATGTATAACATTTCGAACATGGCGGTATAATTTTCTTTCAGCTTCTTTGTACATAGTTTTATCGAACTATTATTTGTCAAGTTTTTGTAAAATTAATGTTTATAGAATCGTAACATCTTACAGTTTTTATAGTTATCTCCTGGAGTGGTATGTGAGCGACGATGACTAGCGGGATCGGTATAACGAGTCTTTAATGTTAATGTGCTCCCAGCGCAACAACAGCCAGTAGGCAAGGGTAGCGGGCAACGAGCAGCGTCTGCAGCCCTCGCGGACTTCTGCCGCCTCCCTGCCTCTGCACCCTCTCACTACCGCACAAATATGTAGTTAAGCTCAGAATTTCGTTTAGTGATGCT